AAAAAGAAAAGAGAAATTTGGCGATACTAGCTGTACAATGACAATTCGATTTTTGGTCCCTATACTATATACATTTGTTTAATTTTGGTCCTTAAACCAGAAATACACCCCAAGCGGGGGTAAGTTTGTAATTTCTGAAAATCCACCTCTTTGACTGAAACAGTTTTGAAAATTGCAGAATCACTCGTATATTTACTCCATCTTCCGGCCGCTCCACCCAAATTGCAAATTTAACCCCAAAGTGGATCTCTCTTGCAATATCCGAAATATCCGGCACCAACGCAGTATGCCTCGCCTCCTCCTCAGCTATAATCGTGTGTGCCTCATTTACGAAAATTCGCAATACCAGTTTAAAACCTTATGATTTACGATTCAAATCGTTCATACCTAACGATTCAAAAGTTAAAATAAATCTTAAATATCAACAAATCGATCAAATTTTACTATTAACGGTTTAGGAAAACTTTAATTTATTATATTATTTATATTAAACTTATGATAATAACAGTTTTGGTCCCTATATTATATACCATTTGTAATTTTGGTCCTTAAACTGGAAATGCCCCCCAAGTGGGGGTCAATTTTTAATTTCTGAAAATCCACCTCCCTGTGTGAAAAATTTCTGAAAATTGCAGAATTACCCCTATACTTACTCCATCTTCGTAGCCGCTCCACCCAAATTACAAATTTGACCCCAAAGTGGATCTCTCTTTCAATATCCAAAATATCCGCCTCATTTACGAAAATTCGCAATACCGAGCATAAAATATTATGATTTACGTTTCAAATCTTACGATTCAATTCATTCATATCTATGTCTATTCAAATGTTAAAATAAATCTTAAATATCGACAAATCGATCAAATTTTACAATTTTTGGTCCTTATATTATATACCTTTTTTTTTAATTTTGGTCCTTAAACCAGAAATGCACCCCAAGTGAGGGTCAATATGTAATTTCTGGAAATCCACTTCTCTGACTGAAACAGTTTTGAAAATTGCAGAATCACCCCTATACTTACTCCATCTTCCCAGCCGCTCCACCGAAATTGCAAATTTAATCCCAAAGTGGATCTTTCTTGCACTATCCGAAATATCCGCCACCAACGCAGTATGCTTCGACTCCTCCTCAGCTATAATCGCGTGTGACTCATTTACGAAAATTCGCAATACCGAGTTTAAAATCTTATGATTTACAATTCAAATCTTACGATTACTAAGTCGTTTCAAAAGTTAAAATAAATCTTAAATATCAACAAGTCGATCAAATTTTATGATTTACGATTTAAGAAAACTTCCACTTATTATATTATTTATAATAAACTTGTGATAATTACAGTTTTGGTCCCTATATAATATACATTTTTAATTTCTGGAAATCCACCTCCCTGACTGAAACAGTTTTGAAAATTGCAGAATCACCCCTATACTTACTCCATCTTCCCAGCCGCTCCACCGAAATTGCAAATTTAATCCCAAAGTGGATCTCTCTTGCACTATCCGAAATATCCGCCACCAACGCAGTATGCTTCGACTCCTCCTCAACTATAATTGTGTGTGACTCATTTACGAAAATTCGCAATACCGAGTTTAAAATCTTATGATTTACGATTCAAATCTTACGATTACTAAGTCGTTTCAAAAGTTAAAATAAATCTTAAATATCAACAAGTCGATCAAATTTTATGATTTACGATTTAGGAAAACTTCCACTTATTATATTATTTATAATAAACTTGTGATAATTACAGTTTTGGTCCCTATATTATATACATTTTTAATTTTGGTCCTTAAACCGGAAATGCCCCCCAAATGGAGGTCAATTTGTAATTTATGAAAATCCACCTCTCAGTCTGAAACAGTTCTAAAAATTGCAGAATCACCCCTATACTTACTCCATCTTCCTAGCCGCTCCACCCAAATTGCAAGTTCGACCCCAAAGTGAATCTCTCTTTCAATATCCAAAATATCCGCCCCATTTACGAAAATTCGCAATACAGAGCATAAAATCTTATGATTTACGATTCAAATCTTACAATTCAATTCATTCATATCTATGTCGATTCAAATATTAAAATAAATCTTAAATATCAACAAATCGATCAAATTTTACGTTTTTTGGTCCCTATATTATATACTTTGGAACAGTGTTGCAAAGCTAGATGGCACAATTATTGACAACTAGCTATATAGAAGACTTCCTTGTTATGGTCACCTGCTGAGGTGATCGTATATTTGTATCAACTCCTGGTTCATCACTGCACCTCTCTTATTTTTACACTTATTCAAACACTAATATCAGCTAACTAAAGTTTGTCTTATACATTTATCATAGGCTAAATTATTTCTATATTATTTTAATACAACTATTTTATAGGAGAAATATATTTGGAGAAAAGAGAGAATGAATTATCTCTTACGTATATTAATCATATATATAGTTACATGTAGGAAACCCTAATCCTAACTACACAAGGTAACCTATTATACAAGGTAACTAGAATAAATAGGAATAATAATAATATACATAATATATATATAAAAGATACGCTAATACACCCCCGCAGTCGAAACGGGAAAGGAGAGGACGTGGAGACTGGAGACAAACTGTTGGAACAGTTGAGTAGGGAGTCCTTTCGTGAAGATATCGGCAAACTGGTAGGCGGATGGGACGTGAAGAACTCGAACGTGTCCCAAAGCAACTTTGTCTCGGACAAAGTGGATATCGATCTCCACATGTTTCGTACGAGAGTGTTGAATAGGATTGCTGGATAGGTAGACGGCACTGACGTTGTCACAGTAGACAATAGTGGCTTTCGAAAGTGGGCAGAGCAGCTCAAAAAGTAGGTTGCGTAACCAAGTCGTTTCGGCGACGGCATTTGCGACAGCTCGGTATTCGGCCTCCGCACTCGATCGAGAGGTAGTGACCTGTCGTTTGGAGGACCAAGAGATGAGGTTGTTGCCGAGGAAGACACAATAGCCCGATGTCGAACGACGAGTGTCAGGGCAGCCACCCCAATCGGCGTCGGAGTAAGCGATAAGGGAGAGGTCCGGATTGGGGGAGAGCTGAAGGCCGTGATCGAGAGTTCCACGAATGTAGCGAAGGATACGCTTGAGAGCGGCCATATGAGGTTCCCTCGGATCGTGCATGAATAGACATATTTGTTGCACAGCATAGCAGATGTCAGGACGAGTAAACGTGAGGTATTGCAGTGCACCGGCAAGGCTGCGATAAAGAGTAGGGTCTGCAACGGGGGGTCCAGTGGTCGAAGACAACTTGCTCTTTGTGTCAGCCGGCGTAAGACAAGGGTTGCAAGAAGCCATGTGTGCACGCTCTAGGATCTCGTCGGCGTACTTGCGTTGAGAGAGAACTAGCCCATTCGACGAGCGAGTGACTGAGATGCCGAGAAAGTAGTGAAGATCGCCAAGATCCTTCATTGCGAACTCTTGATTAAGGGCAGCGATGATGGAGCGGAGCAATTCAGGTGTTGAGGCCGTAAGTACAATGTCATCGACATACAGCAGAAGGTAGGCGCAGGAACTGTTGCGACAGTCGCGTGAACTGCTGCGACAGTCGCGTGAACTGTTGCGACAGTACACAAAGAGTGAAGTGTCGGACTGGCATTCTCTGAACCCCATGGTAGTAATGTGAGATGCAAAACGCTTGTACCAAGCACGTGGTGCCTGCTTGAGACCGTAGAGTGCTTTGTTGAGACGACACACGTGAGTGGGGCGAGATGGATCGACGAATCCGGGAGGTTGCTCGCAGTAGACAGTTTCAGAGAGATTGCCATGTTTGGGGAATTTACTGCCAGGATTAAAAACAAAATTGAAATTACCTGAGTGTGGTGCCATATGAGAGGTCGCCCCGCTGTCCATGAACCACTGTGACTCGGTAGGCTGCTGAAGTGTCACCGTATTCAAACGGTGTGCAAGATCCACCACGTTGGCACTGTTGCAGGAACTATTGCAACTGTTGATGGAACTGCCAGAGTTGTGGCACGGTTGCTGCTACGGATGAACCTGAGTAGGAGCCGAGTGATCGGTGTAGGGTTCAGGTGGTCCAGTAAAGTAGGCTTGAGCCGCTGGGTGGCCCGATGTATTTTGAGCGGATCCCAGAATTGACTGTTGTCGGTAAGGTGCGCGCCAAAGTTGAGATGCGCCATGAGCACTATGATAGCCGTAGTGCTGCATGGGGTGACGGTTAGTGCTGCGACCTCCGCGACGGTTGGATCGGCCACCCCCGCGCTGATAGCGCGAAGAACTACCTCCGCGGGAACTGTTGCAGGAACTGTTGCAACTGTTGGATGGACAGTTCGCGTTGGAGGCATAGAAAACAGCAGCGGTCTGCTCCGGTTCAGAAATTCTTGTTTCTTCCATCTGAAGGAGCGAACGAGTCTGTAGAAAGGTGGGAAGGGGATTTTGAAAGGAGATGAGATTGGCGACGGTCCCGTAATTTTTCGGAAGGCCGTGTAGGGTTTGTAGAACGAGTTGTTTGTCGGAGATTGGGTTTCCGACATCGGCCAAGCTGTCCGGCGTGGTCTTGATTATTTGGCAATAATCGTGAATGGAGAGAGCGCCTTTCTTGAGGGACTTGAATTTTTCTTCAAGTTGAATGGCTCGATAGTCTTTGTTATCGGTGAAGAGAGAAGAGATGGCGTTCCATAGATCACTGGCGGTGGAGGTTTTTGAGAGAACCATGCTGGATAGATCGTCGGAGATGGTGCCGTAGATCCAAGATTGGAGGAGATAGTCGGCGCGCTGCCATTCGTCGGCGGAAATCGAATCCGGTCGGGGTCTGCCATGGAGAAGATCGGAGAGGCTGAAACGACCGACGGTGATCGTGAAAAAGTGGCTCAACTTTTGATAATTAGGATTTTTTAGATCTAGAGTAACGGGGATAAGGGATTTGATATTAGAGATGGCATGGGCGAGGTGAAAAGGATTGAGAGAGGCGGTGGAGGAAGAAGAAGAAGAAGAAGAAGTATCGCCGGCCATGGAGAAGAGAAGGGCGACGGCCGAGAGGGGGAGAAAGATGGTGACGGCTAGGTTAACCTAGTGTCTGATACCAGGAGAAATATATTTGGAGAAAAGAGAGAATGAATTATCTCTCACGTATATTAATCATATATAGTTACATGTAGGAAACCCTAATCCTAACTACACAAGGTAACCTATTATACAAGGTAACTAGAATAAATAGGAATAATAATAATATACGTAATATATATATAAAAGATACGCTAATATATTTTAATGCTAATAAAAAGAAACAAATGTAACGTTGATAATACTATATACAACCAATATGCCGTAACAAATCTTCACCGCATGCCACTGTGTACCAATCTAGAACCGCATTCTCCTCTACCTAATCAGTATCATCCATCGCAACAACGAGTCCAGCAATAATCATGTACGCAACAACTGCAATAATCATGTACGAACATTGTATCCTTTACATATCATAGAATACTAGCTTGTATAACATCAGTTTTTTATCATTAATAAATATAATATTTGGTCCTTTACCTTTTTACATATCAATATTATCTCTTATTTCATAACCCGTCTCACCGTATACAATGTTTTGTTTTAATAAATGTGACCCTTATGTTTAGTTTTCTAATATTGATCACGATATGGGGGCAACTTTGACGCGTCACATGTATCATATCATCAACCCCTTCAAACTCACGCCAGCATAAATAAAACACATTTTGCAAATATGTAAACAGGACATCGACACCACACATTGCGCGGTGCTCCTCACCTAGTGTGTGTGTGTGTGTGTGTGTGTGTGTGTGTGTGTGTGTGTGTGTGTGTGTGTGTGTGTGTGTGTCTTTATATATATATAAAATACATAGTTGCAGGGTGGATGCAATTACCCAAACAAGAAGGAGATTTTCGTAATTTAACCATAACTCAGGGGGTGATTGTAATTTGAAAGTGTTGGAAGAATCAAAGTTGAAAAGCAACATAGAGAATTTCATATTTCCATTGTTTTAGAAAAATGGGGGCAACATCAATTTATTTATGATTTCAGGACACAAATTAATGTTCTTGTTGACAAGATAACTTGTATATACACACGCGCACACACACACACATATGAAACAAAGTTTAAAAAAAAAAGCATCTACACGATCTTGATCGTATGGAATTAAACAATTTGTTCCCCGGTCGAAGCATCACTCACCACAGCACAAGGCAACGACAGATTTTCCATAAGCTCCACCCTGTATTCTAAGCCTCTAAGGTAGTGTCCCAACAGCATGCACCTGAAAAACCAAATAAAAATCATTCTCTATATAAAATACTATATTTAAAAAAGCGGTAGGGGGGCAATGGCCCCCATAACCAGTGTAAATTTATGGACGTACCAGAACAGTAAGCGAGCCAAATAATCGCGAGGCAATGAGATAAGAGGCTGGAATTGAAGAGAAGTGTTCTCGACTAGATCAATACAATCTCCTTCGGTTACAGCCTCTACAGTTCCTACAGTTCCACTGTCGCCTACGTCGGGGCCTTTTGAGTACATCTTTGGAGAAAGTGTGGCCAAGAGACCGTGTACTACTGAGTGGATTGTGTCTTTTAGCTCGGGTGATGTTGGTTCCGATAGCTCGACTACCTGTTCATAAATTATTAAATTATAGGGCCAAATTGCGTTTTAATCGTTCCTATTCTAAATTCATTGTTGTAGATGTGTAGTATTATATGTATCGCTTACCTTTTCTGGTTGGAGAGATCGTAAATAATCCAACAAGTCGTTCTGATCTTCCCCAACAAACTGTTGCATCTGAAGAGCTGCACTTTTCCTCTTTACTTCTTGGAGTTCCTGAGGAAGGCGAAATTTATAAGATATCGAGTTAAACTTTGGACAATTAGGAATAAGCCTTGTAATCAAATATAATGAAGAAAACGAGAAACACCAAGATGCAGTAGATTTTTCAAAGAAACTAAAAGCATAATTAACAACTGAAGAAGGCGATGTAACAAGTTAACCTAATCATGAAATAAATTGTTACGAGGATGCAAAATGCAACAATTAGACATAATATTGTTGAGATGTATACCTTTTTGACAGAAGTTAAATGAGAATGCAATTTCAAAATGTGTTGTCGAGCTTCAAGGGTCAGTTCACCAAAATTCGGGATGTCATACGTCGTTTCTCCCGAGTTAACAGATGTCGGCAAGCTTTCTTGTCTAAAGTTTCCACTAATTCCTTCGTCATTCGGATGTTCCGTCTCGGTTTCAAAACTAGAATCTTCATTTTCTGATCTATTATCTCCGAAATATATCTCAAGATTCCTCTCAAGACTAAACCTATACTCAGCATTTCGCAACGTGTACCTGCGCCAGGATAGAATGTGATTTAAGTCAGAAATAACCCCTATTCCTGTATCCACTCATAATACTGAAAGAAAACGACAAAAGTGCCAAGAAAGTTTGTATTGTTTGTTCAATATTTTTTTTCCAAAACAAGTGCCGAGAAAGTCGGAAATCCAGTTGAGAATAGCTGTGTACGTGCCACTAATTCAGTTCATTGATTAACCGCAAACCACAAAGTTAATTAATATTCGAGGCAAATAAAATGTTAAAGGCACCTTATCACGTGTCACATAACATGTGTGCCTACAAGACAATCGGTTAACGAGTTACTAGGTCCCCGTTTCCCCACTGTGAAAAGAGAGAAATTTACCTAACCTTGTTTAATGTAAACATTTGCATCATTAATTATACGTTTGCACCTCAAGAAATCTTTACATGTGTTTCTCTTATTAGTGAATGTGTTTCTCTTATTAGTGAATTAGGTTTACGGCTGCTATGCAATCGACTATTTCAAAGGTCATACAGAAAGTGGGCATAGGCATACCCCGTCATCATAGAAGACACCAAAAGCTTGGAAAGCGGGTCCCACAATGCGTCGACCATCACTTGAAATTGATCGGATGGAAGCAACCCCAGCATACCGGATATGGTCCTCTTCATGGCATCTATAGTTGTGTGAGGAACATCTTTCTGAATTAGGCTCACATCCAACGGCTCTATATCTCGTATTAAATTAACGAGGATCGATTTCTGAAAGATAAAAAGAATTTGCATCGAGTTAGGTCTCGAGATTCAATCGAACGCGCTAAATTCCCTCGAATTGGATTCCTCTTAACCATCATATGTGCAAGCAAATCAAAACCACTGCTACTAATCATAAGTTAATGATAACTTCACAAGCAATTAATTTTTGTTCATTCGGATTTTTACTCACAAGATATCGTGAAACAGTTGCATTACAGGTACCAATTGCCCATCAATTCAAAACAATCAAAATCAAAATTAGACTGACCTTTGATTGCGGATTTCCGTCGCTGGAACTAAATTCCCAAGCAGAAGAAGAGGAAGCTGAAGAAGCGAAAACCCTAGTTCCCAAAGGTCGGAACCTACCAAAATTTCTTGTGGGGCAGAAAACAGAAAAAGACACGGGAGGCAAAACACGGCGGCGCAGAGGCGGAAGAGGAGGAGGAGAAGAACAGGACAGAAAAGAGGCGAAGGTTGCCATCAACAACCAATCACCGCCTCGATTCGCTGTCTTCTCCTCGATGATGGGGTCCTCGCTCCCAACTGATACAGCCACAGTTTGAATGAAAAATCTCAGACAAGACAACAAGGAAAAAGCCAAGAAAAAACGTGGTTGAGTCAAAGCGTCGAACAGGTGGTGGGCGGGCGTAGGGGCGGGGGCAAGGTCACGTTAGCCCACACGGGTTCGAGCCAAGAGTTGCTCGATTGTCGGCCACACATGTGCAGCATGGGTTGGGCCTTGTGCGGGCCAACTGTTTGTACATTTGACCGGTATATTTTATATGGACTTGGTCTGGTAGTTATGTTCAGGTGTTCTTGTTTCCGGCGGGCCCAATGGGCCGAGTTAACAACTCACTGTCTCAAATTCCGGTGTGGTATGTTTCATATATTTATTTCTTTTCTATTATTAATATATTAGTTTTTTTTTTTTTAATAATGGAACTTGCAGCCAACCATAAAATTTATGTATATTCAATAGTATAGAGAGCTTAGACTGAGTATTATCAGTGCATGAATAGATGCACTCGACAGAGAAGTATACACACATGAAAAATATAAATGATATAAGGAGAATTTAGTCATTGCGGGGTTTAAGTTATGTTCAGTGGTCCTGATCTTTTATGCAATGTTTACTTATTTACAATCATTTCTCCCTCGAATCATGTAGTTAATTATCAAAGTGAACCAACAACTACTGTTTATATCCTCCAAATATGCATTTACAAACGTAAATTTGCTTTTCCAACAACTGCATGTGTGTGAATTTATGCACGTACATGCGTGTGAGTGTGTATGTGCGTGTTTCGTTGTGTTTGTGATAGTCGATTCTTTGTAGTATATTTATCAATTCATTTGATATGTTAGTATTATTAATAATTTATTTTTATTTTTAAATTTTCCCATTTGGAAAGTATGGACCATTTTTGCCTTAGCAAAAAAAAGGCTAAACATACAAACAACACCACGTTGTATGTACTATACATATGAATTAATAAGAAAGTTACAAATGCAATGATCTCAAATTATTGCATCAAAGTTTTCACCTCACCACACAAAAGATGATAACAAAGACAGCATTTGAAATGACAAGAAAGCCCCTATAGATAGAACCCTCCATTAATCTTATCCTTTATCCATACCATAAATTTGTTTCTGTAATGAGATGGACAACTTTTACATAAAAACATAAGTGGGAGTACTATATATACCATGCACATCCATATATACTTCAGAATTTCAAGACCCTACCTAGGGCTGGGCATTTGGGATCGGGATTCGGGATCCTGTCCCGTCCTGATCGGAATTTTACTATTTGGGACTAAAACTTCGGGAATTCGGGATTACGGGATTTGGGATTGGGATTAGGAACAAATACGGGATCGGTATTAGGGAATTGGTTCAATCCCGATCGGGATATTTTAATGCCAAATTAGGAAAAAGAGAAAAAAAAACTAATAAAAATACACGCACACACACACACACACACACACACATATATATATATATATATATATATATATATATATATATATATATATATATATATATATATATATATATATATATATATATATATATATATATATATATATATATATATGTGTGTGTGTGTGTGTGTGTGTGTGTGTGTGTGTGTGTGTGTGTGTGTGTGTGTGTGTGTGTGTGTGAGAGAGAGAGAGAGA